AAAAGAGTAATATTCTGTTCACTCAAATAAACTCTAATTCGAAGAGTTTAATTGTGTCGATAGTATTGACTAGGACTAACAATTTTGGGGTGTTGTTGAATTTGCAGATATTTTGCACATCAATTCGTATTTAAATGATACATTAAATCGAGAGCGATTGCGTATAAAGCGGATGCGGGAGGATGTTCGTTAGTGAATGCATTTTGCGTCCGTTGGGTGGAATACGAGGATGATCCAATCCGGTGGGGTTTATTGGACATTGGAATCACTGCATGCAGTCCACTTCATTTTTTTTTTTATTAAATTACTCTGTCCGTTTTCCTTACGGTTCTTGGAATTTGGATATTCGATTGGAATTGGATATTTGTGCCTTCAATAAACGTACATCAATGTCAAATATTTTCAAATTTCCTATTTAGCTATGTGCGCATTAAATGTACGGAGTTGGTTGTAACTTTCTTCTAATTAGTAATAATTAATTTTGCGTATAGTCCCGATATTCTCATTAACGTTGCGTATATTAATCATACACATTTAATAACTAAATATTCAATCAAATAATATTTATAAATTCAAATCAATGAAAGAGAAATTAATTTTTGCTTTAAAACTAATCAATTATTCATTAATGTACCCATAGCTTCTACTAATATTCCGACTATTTCAAACAAAACTAATCGAGCAACTAAATAAAATGTATAACCGTTATTGTTTATATAATCTTAGCCCTAATTATTTTGTACATGTGTATTTACGTAAGTCATTAAGACTTAGTACAAATACCACTTACGAAGATTCCATAACTAATCACACTATGCTAATTCACTACTATATAATAGAATGTTTATGTAATACAAAAAGAGTCATTAGTCCAAGTTAGTTTTAGTCTTAGAGGAGAATCCTCCCGAGTCCTAGTAAGACTCATAAAAACCCTAGTAACAAACTTAGCAACTGGAATCTAGACATAAAAGTTATTAATAATCTTATAGTGAATAATAAAGTGTTTATTATCATCAAAAGTCTCCAACTTCACCTCTAGAATTCTTTAAAACTCCACTAGGACTCCACAACGACATAACTACGAGATATTTCACAGTGTCCAGAGATATTTGAATCCCGGGACACGACATTAGATACAAAAAAACTTTTGTATACCAATGTTTTAGATTTATTTTTATTTTGCTCAATTAAACTTTAGTTTGTTTTGAAGCCTAGTTAATCCAATGTGATTGTAAACTAACTATGTGATTAATAATTTTTTTTTCAAGTTTATCTTCTATGAACAAATCACACTTTGGTTGTTTTATCTCCATTTTGATAAGTTTTTTTTTGTGATGCTTATTTTTATTGGTTTATTCAAATTGAGTATCGAATCAAATAAATTGGGCTCGTTTTGAGATGTGTGATGTAATTATTATATTAGAATCAAGTTGAATCGTTTGGAGGTTTCAAATTGGCGTTTGTTTCTTACTTCTTACATACTGATACTACATTACTTAAACTATTATTTTCTTAATACTATCTTAAAACTTAATAAGTCAGTTCGACACACCAAATAAAAATTTCAACCAAATTAAATATGTGTGAATAAAAATAAATAAATTCTTCAAAAACATACAAAATATATAGATAATAATTTGATTAGTGAGAAGAATGCAATTTATTTTGAGAAAGAATAAAGTCAAAATTTTCTTCCTTCGTTAATGGCAAGTACGTACTGTCGAATTTTGCAAAAGGTTGATAATCAAGTGATAGAAGATACTTAGAAAATGATATAGAGAAGTTTTCTACTGTCTTCTGCTCTTTGGAAAATAATTCAAATTTGTTAACAAAACCGTCTACGCCTGGGAAGCAATCAAACTGTGAGTTTTTAACTTTACATGTGAACAGTTCTAACTTGTTTTGCCTTTGGTTTGCTCATTGTATGTTTAAATTTAAAACGTTTACATTTTCAAATTGAAAAATGTTAATTTCAGCCACCAATAATTTCATTTCATTTTCATAAATTCAAATTCAGAAGTTTTGATATCGAAGAAAGATATTATTTCAATTTGCAAAGAAATAAATCGTGCGATTTTTTCCTTTCGAAAGCCATACCATTTCTGTATGAAGCATGGAACACTTAAAATCAGAATCGATTGTTGCAAAAAGACTGTAATGTAAGGAATTAGAATTTATGTATCGACACGAATACTTCGCGGTCATGCAACGATCGGTGCAAACGCTAACACAAGTTTGCCATCCCTCTCAAGACCACGTTTCGATTTACAAGGTTAAAGACCTCTTCTTCTGTTGATATCTCCTTTAATTCACAGCAGAATATAATATTACCACCTTTGATCATTCTTAAAAAGGAAATTAGTTGAGATTTGTTGCAGATGTCCGTACTTTCATCGATTTATAAGGTCTACAAGTGTTCGAGTTCATTGTTTGCTTTAATAACTTAAGGAGCCGAAGGTGTCTAAATGAATATACAGTGGAACCTCGCTTAGAAAGTTTAATCCGTTCCAAAATTTCCGGATTTTTACTCGTATATTGAAACATATTAGAAAATACACATAATATGTGTACAAAAGTTTTAAAAATTATGTAGCAGGCGCACAATCCGGGACTTCTCTTCTCATCCTTATGCTAAACGTCGCTCTTTAAGCAAGTCATTTTTCTTACAATTCATTTTGCTTGTTAAGCAGAATGCTCGTTATGCGAGGTGCTCGTTAAACGAGGTTCCACTGTACTTTTAAATTTTTCGAGGGACACCTAGAATATCTCGCAACACGCAGTTGAACAGTCACTGATACAAGTAGTACTTTAATAATCATTTCAAAATACAAAATTTGGTTACAATTTTAAGTCCAGTTGAAACATTTCTAATAAATGTTGTATACAAAGATTATATATAGATTCTTTCCTAAGCCGAAATACTTTCAAAGCAGGAATGTAATGATTAATTTAAATGTAATTTTTCATAATTCATTTTCTGTAGTATTTTTTTTTAAGTAAATCACAATTTTAAGTAATTCACAATTAATATTTGAATTCTTCATTTTTTCTAAAATTTTTGTTTACATAGTTTTTCAAAATCATTTAAAAAGTATTATAGATAAAATAATTACTTTTCATAATCGTTTTCTTTGGTAGTTTTAGATAATATGTTTTGTTTTTAAAATGAATATTAGTACTAATGATAGTAAATATTTCATATTTTTATTTCTATTTCTATAGCTTTATTTAAAATTGAATATTTATTTAAAAAAATGGAAATACAAATTAAAGTAAAATTACTTTTTGATTACAACTACCAACAAATATATTGCAGACAATTAAAAAAAATGCACGTGAAACTCTGCATCAAATATATTGATTTTCAGGTTTAATTGCTTTTTTATTGAACCACACAGTATTTCAATACAAAGTTTGTCTCTCATTTTAAATATTCAAAGGGAACAAAATCGCTTTCAAACAATCCCCAACAAAGTAAGTTGAAGTCAAGAGGATCTTACGTTTTACATGTATATTTATACACATCATTCGTTCACAGCTGAACAGAATCGAACTGGAAATCCGAGTTCATGTTTCATTCAGGAAGGTTTTAATCGAGGGGGAGTAAAAACTGTGTTTCACTCGATCTCCGTTTTGAGGTTTTGTTTCATTAAATTTTACAAAAAAAAAGAGTTTTTCTTTCTACATCGCTTGGACCCTTGTTACGCTTGTTTTTTTTGTATTATTGCTCATTGTTCTATTGCGCAACATTGTGCATTTCATTGGGACAATTGTTGAAGGAAAAACAAACAAAAATGAACATATTTCTTTTGTTGATTTCATCCATTAGTTATTTATAGTTTCCATTCAATTTAACCTTTCAACAACACAATTGGACAATTGATACACTATATAGCTTGCGTTTGTATAACACAATATACTAATCATTTAAATGTACTAAATAATGCTAGTGGACACAGGTTCAAATCCTGGTCAAGCAAGGCCCTTTGTGAGCCCTCTCGGTGCTTGCAGCAATAGGGCCATCGTTCATCACGGATGAACCTTCAGCCAAGTCGATGGACAATGACAGTCTTAAGGATAGCAGCAGATTCACAGTTAAAGGAAATAGTGAAATCGCAGAGCGTCAATATACTAAAATATTTACAGTATCCAACAAAACGGACCTAAGTACAGTAATAACTCGCATAATGCGGCTTCGATCAGTGCGGATTCACTTTAGTAACGTTTGAAAATTTCAAAAGAAACTAAACTTTAATTAAGAAGTAATATAAATAAACTCACACAAATTTATTGTATTTTTGCTTTTATTTGAGTTAGTTCGGTTTCAAACTATCCGAGATATCGGCAAAATTGATTATCCGTACTATTCGAGGTCTTTCCGCACACTAAACATGAAAATTCATCTTATATTCGTATATTCAGATTTTGTACAACAATCGATTTTGTGTATGTTGCTATGCCAAAGCTATGGAAAATAATCCCAGATTCAAGGTAAAAGTAACATTTGTCGTTTCTTATTTTGGAACGCAACAATACAAAAAATAAAAATGTAACTGATAAATGCATGCATTCTGGAAGCAACAAATCCGGATGAATAATAAATCAAATGGAAAGTGGATGGATGAAGATAAATGTAGTATTAGAAAATATCCAAAAAAAATGCTTGAGAGAGGAATAAGGAGATTCAACCTCCTTTCCGCCTCTCCTCACGTGTCGCCGCGCCCTTAGATCTTCCGGTGTTTCGATATTGAAGGGACTTTTAATATATTGATGTCGCGCCGGATGCCGAAGACAATTTATTATTATTACAGGTGCAGGGGGTGAAGTTGAGAAGAAAAGAAGGCGCCGTCTGTGATATAAGTTTTTAATCTTTCCATAAAACACAAAGATCAGGTTAAGAATATACTCGCCTTATACAAAATAATGTTACATCTAAATTACGATGAGATCAAGAAAAAGAAAAAAGAAGTAACTGAAAACGCGTTTAAAGAAAATATTGATATTGTAAAACGCGTTTTTCTGTTGATTTTTTTTTCGTTCTCCTTAAACTCATCGGGTAAACTTAATTTGAACTTGATATTTGTTAATTAAGTGTATATATTGATAGACTAGATTAGCACTAAACACTAATTTAAATACTTTTTTCTTTCGTATTTACAAATAAACAAAGTAAACTTGATATGGTTTGGTGGTGTTCAGTTGAAGGTGATCGCGAAAAGGGCGATGGGCAGAAGGAATGGTGCAAGCACTGGCCTGTTCTGGTTCGACTTCTTGCGTGGCTGCGGTCGCGGCGGTGGAATTGGGGTCGTCGTCGCAGCGTGCCTTGTCGTCAGAACGACTCCGGTGGTTTGTGGTTGCCATGGGATACCGGGTAACTTGGCTTCGCATCGGACTTCCACTTTGGAGGCTGTGGCCATCTTCTTGTCGACGGTGAAATTCAACGTCAAAGATTTGGAAACCGATCCGAGTTCGTCGTCGACGTGGGCAGTCTTCATTTCGCCGACGCTCTTTGATGGCGCCTGCAACAGATGTAATATCCAGATGGAAAAGTTGCAAACAACTATTTTTCATAATACTAATGGAAATTAATTCAATCTTCTATATATTTTGATAAATTATAAATGTTGAAAATCAAACTTATAACGTTTAAATGTTATATGGAGAAATAATCTTAAATTTGGAAGCAATATAATATAAGAATTCAATAATTAAATTACTTCTTATTGTAATTTTACTACAACATTTTAAAATATTTACACAAGGTATCTATAATTATTTTAAATATTTATTCTAGAAAACTTTATATTATGATATACAGGTTGCAACTTTCAGAAATCGTGAAATATCCAAATCTCCATGATCAGCTTTTAAAGCAACAATTACAGCATGTCTTTTCATTTTTTTAGTCATATGGGAGACTGCCATTACTTCAAAACTACTAACCTGAAAGGTATTAGAATGCAGTAGAACCATGAAAAAGGATGTCCTCAAATTCCTTATACATTCTGTATCTTAGCATCAATCTTATATATGTTGCATAAGTCCAGACTGGTGATTTAATTTAACTACACTCACACTATAAGTAAAATGAAACATACGTATTTTTCAGCTATACCAGAGGTGGCCAACCACTTGATTGTAAACAGTTGTATATAAAAATTGATTATACTTCATTTCAATCCATCAGTAGTTATCAATTATTAACGAAATTGATTATGTAATTGTGGAAAATATTTAACATTTTTCATGTAGATCGATCGATATTAAAAACAAACAAGTTGGCCATTCCTGAAAGATACCAATTATTGTTGGTTATAATGGAGATTAATGACATTGACACTGAACTGTCAGCTGTAATATCTGTCAAATGTACTAATAGGTTGTATATATTTGCAGGGCCATCTTATAATTTAGGTATAGTGTCTAGAGCCCACGGTGTTTTGTGGAGCCAACGAGATTTTGGAGCCCACAAAAAATAAAGATTAAATCTTTTTAACTCAACCTCTTCGTCATGTATATCAGTATTTCTTAAACTTTTTGGTCCGTACTTGAAAAATTTAAAGGACCCCCGAAGAATGGGTATGTGTAGAAAAACATAAATTGAGAATCGATGACCTATCGATTATATATATTTATTTTTTTCTTATTATTTCTGTATACGTTTTGTAGTAGGACTGATGCAATAAACATTATTATTTACATTATACTTTTTTATATTACCACATGTTATCTTAAATTCACGTATCGTGGCTCGAGGAATTTGTGTTCTTATCCCAGACTCTGGATATTCCATAATATATAAGGATATATGTTAAATAATTTACGTAGGGCAGAAAGACTTATGGTCAATAGAACTTTGCTATTTTTTGAAATAAAAATACACGATTTGATATTAAATTGAATCAATTAATCTTTAAATATATATAAAAAAAAAATCATATTCCTATATCATAAATATATCATAAATTAAAAGATAAGAAAATTTAAGCACAAATTATTTAATCGTTTTATTCCATGTATAATAATACCTGAATTAAATCCATCTGAAAATCGCATAAGAATGTGTTAAGTACAAAATTCTTGGAATCGTCACTTTTAATTAGAATGTAGTATATAAAAGTATGATACAAGGTAATAAATTACTTTAAAATTATGATGAGTGTTAATGAAAACAATTTGAAACAGTAATTGCAGATCTGCAGGGTATAGTTAAACTGATTCATGGGGAACAATGCTACCTAAATAATTTTACAATTATCAACATTCTTTGACAACGAACTGCAAACAGCCAGCACTCGAGCTGAAGTAGGTAGAACTACGGCTTCGCAGAGGTGTCCAGGGAGGATTCCGATTAAAGATTAAACCGCCGACATGGACGAAGCACTCGAATGAAAAGGGGGGTCGGTTCGGTTGGTCAGGCCAATGGTCCGCATCCTGATGTCTTCCTAGCAGCAGCAACGACTGCAGCTCCCTCCATCTCCAAGGGAACTTAATTAATCAGCTGCCTAATTAAATTAAAGACGCCGCATTCACTCCAAACTACACATATATACACATATAGTATATATATATGTAGTGTACATGCTACGGCTCTAGAAGGAAATACAACAATCCAACAACTTATATTCTACGTGATGTCTGCAAAACACGAGACACGAAGAAAAAAATAAATAAAGTAAATAATTTCAAGTCTCATCGCAACTTAGGAATATATATTATCTAATTGTAATATATTACATACACTTAATGAGAAGAAAACATTTAAGAGTGTTTATATTTGTTAACTCTTATTTTATTTATTAATACGTTTCTTTTACTGAAATAGAAGTTAAATGATATTAATTTTTCTATTAATAATTAGTACAATTAAATATAGTTGCTCTTATAAACTTGTATTATTAATTGAAATGTTTTTATTTGCTACAGCAATGTAAAACTTTTATAGAATACACAAAAACTGTATTTGTAACTGTAAAAATTTGATAGCTTACATACCTTCATTCAACGTAATTATAGTCTACTTGAGTAGAAAACATACTACATTTTACTTGATTCCTTCAAATCTATTACTTCTTGCAAAGAAAGCACGTATCTGATTACGTTATATACTTATACTTTCCGCTGTATTCCCATAAATTTTATGTATTTGCAAGAGGACATTAGAGTTATGAAAACATCGAAATCCCGACAGTATCAAAATTTGTATAATTTGGTTGTATTCTAGAAATAAAAAATCCAGCGTAGAATTGTTCAAATGATCTATACTATACATATATAAAGTATACAGTTATGAATTTAGAACAAAAACTCCTCTCGGTTTCTCTCCTTCATCATAAAATATGCACGCGCACAAATTTTATCACTGCCTTTTTGTGGCATTATTTGCGCAATTATTTCACACACATTCATTTTTGCAAAACTTGATGAGTCTAATGGTTACTTAACTAGATAGTTCTAATTTAGTGTAGGCATAAAATACAGGTTTTCCTCTAAACAATAGAATATCGATGTTTTTTTTATCAATTCATTTGTTTTACGACTATATCTTATACTAAAAGATACTGTCGGGATTTCACATGTCGGGATTTTGATCCTAACCTGAAAAAAGTTGCTGTGAATAACTTTGTATAACTCTACTATAACAAATAACAGTTTTAATAATATTGAAAAACACCGCTAAATAAGACAGAAAATACTAAAAATGAAAGTAATGTTTAAATAACTTACTAATTTTTATTTTTGTATACAAAAAAAAAAACGTTTTGTTAATCAATTAATCAAATACTATTGAAATAAAATGAAATAATTAAATCATTAATAATTCGAAAAATAAATTTACTAGTATTGTGTTTTGTGTTATATAATATTGAGTTTAAATATAGTCTTCAAATTATTGAATCAAATATTATTATTTAATTTTTTTTAAATTTACTACAAACTTTACCTTTATATCTAGAATTTAAGAAATTTTATATATAAATATTGACAATATAAAAGTTTAAAAATTATATTCTTATTGATAAGAAATAATACAAGATGTTATAAAACAATGATGTATGCATCTAAAACGATTTACGTGTACTAAAATATTTTTTTTGTAATTTATAGCATATTTTTTCAGTACATAAAATATTGCCTCTCGTATCTTTTGCTTAATCTTCCTATTAGTATTTATAAAACTATTACTTACTGACACTGCTTCTTAATGATGCTAACATTTCATTATTTTATTTTACGTACAATTTTTTATATATTCTTCTCTCTTTTGCGATTAGAGAATTTTATGTGAACACGGTGTGAATTATGTGCGCATAAAATAGTCAGAAATACGTTATGTATGCTAGGTGTATCAGATTTGATCCAGATAGCTCGTAGATTTTGTTAATAAAAAAAGTGTGTGTTGACCATTGTATGGATGGGCGAGTTGGACGTTTCATCGTTTTCTGTCGCAGATGTGCATGTGCAACATTATTCAAACGGGTGATAGGTTACGATAGGATTCGAAAGAAGAATATATAAACTGTACCAACCAAAAATATGAATCTATTTACATTTTATTATATATGAGCCATTTATTTTGAAAGTGACCTAAATCCATTTATTTTTAAATTGAGATATTTTAGAGTTTGTTTTTCAATAATATTAAATACAGTGGAACCTAACTTAACGAGCATAATTCGTTGCAACATTTCCGGATTTTTAGTGAAATATTTTTCCCCACATAAACTAATGTAATATACGATTTCCATCTTTGCGAGTCATTTTTCTTACAATTTATTTTGCTCGTTGTGCGAGGTTCTACTGTATACGTATATGTATCTAAAAGAGTTAAATTTACAATTTCTATTAATATAATAGCAAACATATATTTGTTTTCTTACCACAAATGGAGCTAAGCCATCTTAAAAATTAATAATTCGATTTATAATAAAATTTGAAAGAGCTCAAATCCATTAGATATAGTTTAAAATTGAAATAGAAAACAGTAGAAACTCGCTTAAGCACGTCGCAAATATATACATCCGCCTAAACACTTAATGTTTAGTGAAAGTTAAGTACAATTGTTTAAATACATTCTTCGGAAAAGTACTTCTTTCCTTACTAAATATTGTAACCCATTATGTTAATTCCCTACTATAAAATAGGATGTTTCTGTAATACAAAGTTAGTCTTACAGGTTAATTCTACCGAGTCTCATTAAGTACTAGTCCCTAGTCCTAGTTAGACTCATAAAAACCCTAGTAATAAACCTAGAACCTATGCTTATTAAAAACTTGAATCTAGACTAAGAAATTGTTAATAAACTTATAGTGAATAATAAAGCGTTTATTATTGTATATACTACAACTTATAGCATTACTTCATTAGGACTCCACAATGACATAACTACGATATATTCCACAGTGTCCAGAGATATTTCAATCCCAGGACACGACAATATGTTCATCATGTCCTTGTAATTCGTATTATGATGTTGTAATTCGTCTTATATGTTTACAAATTTAAGTAATTTTTTTAAATTTTCTTGGTCTTCTCCGACGTGGTAATAAATTCAGTATTTATCCATTAATAATTGTTATCTTAGGAAACTTTATAAGGTTCCTTTCTTAATTAGAATTCTTTATTTTTTTAAAAACTGCGTCTTCCAAAAGTCTTGTTCATGTCAAATCCTCTTGTATCAATCATTTGCTTTAGAATAAAGTAATAAAATAATTAAAGTTACCTTCATCACTGTCTTCAGAAATTTGGGAATCCAGTTTTGGACATTATCAATAATGAAGTAGACTTAGATCACTTTCAAAATAATGTTTTTAATTATTGAACTAAGTGTGAAAATTTATGTGATTAAAATAATCATATACAGTGGAACCTCGCTTTTCGCTTTGACTATACGAGTATTTCACTATACAAATAAAAATCCGGAAATTTTGTAACAGATTATACTCGTTAAGCGAGATTCCATTGTAGCTAACATCAAATTATAAAAATTGCTGCTACATCAAAAAAATGAATAATGGACTTACCTAGACCAGTTTCAAAATAAACGGCTCATATTATTTACATTCAATACAGCATAAACCAAATCAGACTGATGATAACCGGAGATTTAAAACGCCTGGATATGATTTCATAACTAACTTTGTTAGCTAATAAAGTAATGTAATTATATAGTAATCTATTTAAATGTATTGTATTTCACGGATCTGTCATATTGAATTATATGTCAAGTAGTTTAAGGAGATGGGAGATGTGAAACAAAAAAAAAAATAGGTGCCGCTGCGTAAACGTATTAAATATAAAATAATTTGGAAACACAACAAAGAGTGGGAAAATTGCATTAGCACTGATAAAAGGCTCGATGTTCAGGGTACACAAGCTGCCAAATAATGATATGCAAATTTTACCTCGTTAGTGTTGATGTACCAGGAAAGGATCGGAGCAGGATCGGAGACGTCGGAGACGCAGTTGGCCGTGATTTGTTCGCCTTCCACGTATTTCTCGTCGATCCGTAGACCCTCGATTCGCAATTCTTTGTTGGGCAGAGCTGCAACGTTCGGAAGTCGTTAGGTCCGCACATCATTTCCGCACAAACTGAACGTTGACGTTCTTTTTATTTTTTTTAGACGTGTACACACGTACCTGCCACTATGATGTTTCCCGTCTCCGAGACGGATTTGAAGGATGGACCCTCGCTCGTCACCTCGCACCGGTAAGAACCGCCGCTATGCGCCTTCGACAGCTGATGGAGACTCACGTAACAGTTCTTCAGGTTGCACTGATCGACGCCTTTGAGGACGTGCACACCGGCCACCTCAAAGGATATGTACGGCGGTGTCCTTTTCGGTTCGTACCTGAATTCAAAAGAATAAATGCTTTTAAGGAAAACATATTTCGAGTGCATCCACACTACGATCCATATTAAATATAAACCAACATCATACGTCAATATTTGACTTAAGTTAATATTTCAGTTTACAATTCAATTAACTGACATCGGATTTCATGACTATAAATTAATAACAACTAGAAATAACTCGCATAGTACGGCTTTGATCAGTCAATACTCTTTTTGTGCGGTTTATTTCTATTTTATTTACTTCCTCGATTAGTCCGGTTTTAAACGGGATGTTGACAGAACCAATTACCCGAACTATGCGGCAATACCCCTGTACTTATGCTTATAATGACAGCTGTTTCAGATGACTGACTCCATGACAACCAATGTTTATGATAAGTAAAGAATTGGATTGGATGAGTAAAGGTATTTAAGTATATCTTTACTAATTGGATCATCCACATTATGCCTAATATTAGATAAGAACTCGTTCTACACATATAGAAATATCATTAATGATTTGAGATTATCCAGTGTATAGAAAAAATAAGCGTTCAAGCAAACTTTATAGAAATTATTGTTAATATATAAGAAATAGAAACTTTGAAAATTCTTTCCATTAAACGTATATTTGATTAAGTGAACCTGATATTTAAATCTAGTTAGAATTAAAATCATTTATGTATAAAAAATAATTCAGTTTAATAAATTTTTAGAATCTATTTTTAATTCGCTCAATTAAAATTTAGTTTATTTTAAAAATCGGCATTTATCGAAACCGCACTATGCGAAGCTTTGTTGTATTTCTATAAGTTTTATAACTTTTTTCATAGTTACGATATTTTACGAAGTAATTAGACTGAACCTTTAAAAATATTATACTAAAGTGTAATTAATTACACAATTACATATATATTTCATTTTTTTCACTTAATTTATAAAATATATTTGACTTATTTTTTTTATTAAAGTGTATTTATAGATAAACTGTGTATTTTAAATTAGTGCATTTGCATATTGGGAAATATTGTGTTTAATAATTAATTATATAAATAACATCAATGAACAAAATTAATATTTTGATTACAATTATTACATGTTTTGTTTTTTTAATTAATTTAAAATTGATTATTCGTGTTATAACGCATTCTACAGCGTTTCGCTTATCGCGCCGTTTCTCTTTCATTAATTATTTATATTTAAATATAAAAATTCGCAGGTTTTATACAGATTTTCATTACAAAATAAACAGACTATAGAATCTATATTATTTAGTATAAGTAATTTATCAAAATAATTGATGAATCTGATGCGTGACCGTGTTTTAATATTGCCGCTTTGTTAACTGTGGAATAGTGGATAAATAACAAAATTAAAAAAAAAACGAAGCGCAAAAGGTTGACAGAGAACATATCGAATGCGATTTGTCCAAGCAAAATAGTTTACAGCGACGGGGATAATTAATTCAAAACTTTCAAAACGGGTTCAGGGAGCGTTTTGTTTCAGGGGGGCGCTGCGCAATGTTTCAGCGCTCACCTGAAAAATTCGTTGTTGTCCTTGTACCACTTGATGTCCTTCAGGATATCCTTCTCCATATCGAAATGGCACTCCAGATCCACGTTGCCCCTCACATCCGCTACTTCAGGGAACTTTATGCTCTTCAGGCTTAAGCATTCACCTGCAATGAGAGGACAAACAATGGTTTTGTTTTACATAAGATTTCATACAATACTATGAATAAATCTTTTAGAAAATTTGTAGAAAAAAAAGAAGAGAAGAATAGTTGTTTTTAGAAACGCGTGCATGCGCCGGGAATATTTATTTTATCTTTTCATATTTAATCATTGACCTGCAATGATAAATTAACAAAGGTTTTTTTTCAATTAGTGTCGGGTGGATGCGCCGGGATTTATAAATTTTTGTTTAGCCCATTTTTCTCCAACAAAGAAAAAAAACATTGATTTTATTTTAGGAAACCCTTTCATAATAACTAAGCACCAAAAAAAAACTATAGCACACATTTTTTTTCAAAAACACAAAAATTCGATATAATTCGGTATTTTTTTCTATGTATGTTTACAAAGTACATTGTAATCTCCAATTGAGTTTAGTTTTGGCCAGATGATAGTTGTTACAATTTCCATGCGTTCGTAATGGTTAGATCAAACATATAGGTAACAAGTACCCACAATCAATTCTTGCCAAGAATATAGAAATAGAATCATGGTGACTGAATGATCACTTAGATCAACTCCTTCCGTTCTCTTGTTCTAATTTTGAATGCACAACAAGTAAATCATTGATTATATCAAATTGAAAATAAAAAGTACCTCTCGATTTTTTTGATTGTAGATTGTAACAGACTCTTCGACATTCTATTCTCTCTGTTGCCATAAATTCCCTTTCGGTCACAGTTTTCATCAAGTACAGAGCAGATGTTTTACTTTTATGGTTATATAATAGAATTCTACAGATTAAAAAATTATTATACAACGATAAGTTTTAACTATTTATCAGTAGATTGCAGAAAATTCAATAAATATCTGGTTGAGTCCAGTGGGTCAAACTTTTCAGATTTAAGCAATCACTTGAAATAAGAGTACAAAGTATAATGTGCGCTTTATATAAGATCTCCGATGATATAAGTTTTGTTTTAATTAAATCTATTAGAAAGTACATAAAAAAGAAAATGAGTTATTATTCAAATCAGATGGATGTACAAAATGAAGAGGAACAAAATTGAACGTTTAATTTAAACTACTTATAATCGTTAATTGAATGCTATATTCATATCATGAGACATAAATCTTATCAAATGCGCTGTCAGGAGATAAGAAATAACAAACGGCTGTAACTAATATAGTAACATAAATTTGATTAACTTGATATACGTAACAGAACAATATATAATCTTTAATAATTGATACAAATATTAGAAGATAAATAAATTGTAGTTGTATCAATGTTTAAGTCATGTGGATGCGCCGAGTATGTTGAGAGCATAAGTAGAAAGATAATACATAAAACGTTGATTTTATATAAGAGATGGAAAACTTTTGAGATGGAAGATACAAACCTCTTCCTCACAATATTTTAATATTATTTGAGATTCACAAATACATTTGTTTTTTTAAATAAACTTTTGAGACAGAAGAGCAAATCTTGAGGAAGAATAATGTAAACCATATTTCAGAACCATATTTTGTTATATATTTTTATTATTATTTTATTATGTAGTTAATCAGTTTATTTGTATCTATTCGCTGGTGACATTAAATGGATACAATTTCCCGCAGGATATTTACCATTATTACGATTACGATTATGAAAATTAATAATTATTTATTGAAATCTACATACTAAATCTAGTGATTTATAATGCTTAAGCATATTTGTAATTATTAATACAGAGATATATTAATGTCAGATATAAAATTAAACTTTAATTGATACTATAAGTTTAAGGCTGTTTTTACACAATATGGCATATATTAAATAAATGACGTAGAGTTTGGTAGTATAAGATCTAATTTACCTAAATATGTCGATTTGTTTAAGTTGGTACACGTGCGGCACAATAATATATAAAAAATTTAACATGTAATAATTTTTAAGTTATGATCAAAAATAGAAAAAATAAAAGAAAACGTTCATTTTGTGCTGGTTATAGTTTAATCAATATCTACATTATGCGCAATGGGAAACATAAAAGTATTCGGGTATATAAGAATAAATATTTTCCTGACGGTTATAACTAAATATAGTGACATAAAATTGTTGGTACGTTGGTACCCGTAATAACACAATAAAGTAAACCCTTGTATAACGCAGTAGTGTCATAATGTAATTACGTAAGAATCTAAAGTTTAGATGAAAATGTATTGGTAGAAAACAATATGGATAAAGAATGAATTAATAATTAGAATAATGTACAAAGAGCACTTGGGTAAATAATTTGGATTAGGTTTCCGTTTGAAGTGGTTTGAATTAATCTGATGAATATTTTACAACACAGTTTATACAATTTAGTGAAAAAAAAAACTAAAAATAATAGTTTAATCAATACGTAAATCATGTAGATTTTTGTATAAACTGAGTGTATCTTCACGTGTCTTCAATGATGCTTATATATAATGATTTGACACATAAATTTCATTGTTCGAGGATCTGAGAAAATAAATTCCGTTAACGTAAATAACTGTAATCTATTATAATTGACATAGTTATAATAAATTTAAGGAAATAAATAAGCAGCAAGGATGTACTTAATACGTTATTCCACGTTTTCGTCTGTGTCACAAAATCCGACACGAAGGTCTCTTGTTCGTTTCCTTGGAAATCAAATAACAAAAACCTAGGGAGAGTTTAGATCAATTTATACTTAATGGACTGTAAACAAAATAAAATAATTAAATTTTCTATGTTTAAAAATATTGGTGCGTATGTGAAATAAAAGGAAAATAGTAATAAAAAATGATTTATACGGATCTTTTGTATTAATGATTTGTAAATGTTATGAACAGTAGATAAATAGATTGTTATAATTAAATCTATTAAATAGTTCTAAATAGTGTAAAAAATTGCATATGTTTTAAATTATGACAGTATATTCGTCAAAATGACGTATTTTAAATGTCAATTTTCTAGGTTATGTTTAAATTTAATTATGACATTTAGTCACTTTTATGACTAATTAATATTTCGTTTTAAGGTTATATTAAGATGATTTCTGTCAAACATGTTATTCATTTTCGCAAATGTATCAATAATTTAATAGATAATGATCGAAAATGTGAATGTATTATGATTTAAATGTATGAATTATGTTGAGATTAGGGACATTTTTTTTGTTCCCGGGAAATCTGAAATAAATTTTCAAGTAAATTTCTAAATCACGGAATTAAAAAAAAACAATTAGGCTACATTGTATAAAATAATGTTTGGTTAGTTTATGTTACGTAAATGTATATTAGATTAGGTTAGGTTTGGTTGTACTAGATTAGGTTGTGCTAGGTAAGTTTATTTAATGATTAAGTTAGAGTTAATCTTTCGTATTTTTCAAAGTTACTTAGCTAAATCCTGTACTAAAATCTTAACCATTTAATGGAACATCGACGTGGAATGTGGATGGAGTTTGGGGTTGAGGATGAAGCAGAACGGAGATCGGCATTACTGGTAATTAGCGTAAGGCATGAGCCGTGTTTCTGTTTAATCGTATCTCGGAGAAGGGGACGAATCGCTCTCTCTATGCAGAGCTTAAAAGCTTGCTGCAGGTCTTCGTCGACACCAACGACAGAACCGAAAATCTAATTGAAAACTTTGTCAGTTTTGTCCCATCTCTACGCAGAGGACTTGGAGGAACTCTGCGAGATCCATAAATAAACAATGCGAAAGGCGACGACAAAAATCTTACTCCGACGACTTAGTTCTAATTTGATCAAGCTTAAATATTTGCGTTCACGGCTCGTGCTTTGCTGGCCCTCGAAACAATTTATTTAAAATGATTGTACACGCACACACACAGTTTGCCACAGCCAATTTTGGAATTAATATATTTGACGAATAAAACTCATTCCATTTAATTAAATAAGTTTCACCTGCTGAGTTGGAGAACGAGCGACGAGATGCGAACTTCTAAACTTCTAATGTTACATAATTAACTTATTATTTATGGCGTTACTTAGGTACTTATACAAATTGAGTTCTATTCGTAATGCGAAGGATGTATACCATTATTTCGCAATGTCATACGTTTTCATAAAATTAAACACTGTATCGATTTTCAGCGAAACGTGTATAATCACATTTCAGAACGAGCAAATTCATCGTACTCCTTGCCAAAATCATTCGTTGAATATTCAAAGTTGTCTAAATTGCAACCAGAATTTTAAGTGTTACCCAGAGTTTTCTTTAAAATATTTAAGAGAATCTATTCGTTTCTTATATAATAAATTATTTATTCTTATTACAACCTATCAATAGTTTTTAGTAATTAGAATTATTCATATTTATTTATTGTATTTTTTGTTTATTTTCATATTTTGTTTCCTACATAGATTTTAATTAAATACGTGCAATTCTCAATTATAGTTATAAAAATATAAGAAGTTAATAACCAAATTACGATATAAAATGTTTATACAATAAATGTTTTTTCAAGTATATATCTAAATATAAATATGACATATTATCTGTTATTTTTATGAATCACAAATATTTAGTTTGAAGGTTATAGTAAAATGATTCATTTCCGTAAATTAATAAATTATGAGCAAAAATGAGAATATTCATTATTTTTTAGGTTTGATTATCATAAGTTATTCAAATTCATGATTTAATTAACTATCAAATTTATTAGTTTTTTCGACCAAAACTGATTAGTCTTTCTGTCCAGACTATTTTTTTTATTAGATATCAGTTATTTTTATGAATTTATAAGATTTTGTTTTCATTTACGTTAATATTATTAGTATTTTGTCTTTAATTTATATAATCAAATAAATTAATCTTATGAATAAATATCATTTTTTCAGATAATGTTCAAATCTGACAAATAAATGTCAATTTTATCACCTTACGTAAATATTAATTCCGCGTTTCTTTATATTGCGTTTATGTAACAGAGGATAAATGTTAATAAGGTAATGTCAAATGTCAAATCTGACATATTAATTGTCA